TATCGCCACCACTACCACATTCAGAACCATCAAAATAGGGTAAATATATGAACACTCTCCCTCAAGTTGGAGCATACAAATTATATGTACCAAGCTTAGAATAGATAAACTCAATCTGAGATCTCTTTAGGAACTTAGAAACATCGACTTAGAACACGATACACATATGCTTCAGACCATCCAGAGAGAATGTTTATAAACCAAATTGGACTCACAATCCAGCATAGCCAAAGAGACTCCTCTTGAAACATAGGACTTGTCTTTAAGAGTGTGCAGCAAACAGTGGTCAGTGGATAGCAAAAGTGCAAAACAATTCGGGAAGTGACAACTCACATCAGCTTATGTTGTATAATATTGGACAACAATGGACAACCACAAAACTCCAACTAGCATCATAAACCTTCAACTAAGATGACTTTGATAAAGGAGATTTCCATCAAAAGTAGATGACGGCCAGCAGTGGTAGACAGCAACAAACTGCAGAGACTTAATTGCCATTAAGTAAGGATGGGGCCTGCAGTGGCTAAAAGTGACAAACTACATGAACTGGATTTCCATCAAGTAAAGATGGGGCCTGTAGTGGCTGAAAGCGACCAAACTACAAGAACTAAACTGCCATCAAGAAAGGATGGGGCCTGCAGTGGCTGAAACATAATCCCCCTCACGACGAACGACGAAAATGACGGTGCGTTGATGACAAACTCTGAAGGTGGAAGGTCATAATGGTCTCCTTTATTCATCAAAGCAACAAAAAACAGATTTGACAAGGGGTTGGTGAAATTGTTTGACTAAGATTCTGAATCTTGTCAGAAATAGACTCCCCCTCATGCCGTGAGCAACCTTCAACCCATGACTTTGGTGCTGAAATTTCTTGGTGTTAACCAACTGATAGCACTGACTTTAATTGGAGACTTGTAAATAAATGACATGAGCCATCAGGAACACCACAAGCTACAATATGCAAAGCTAAACACACATTATGAAAGGAGACTAAAAGAACAGGATTGTTGATTGCAGAAAAGACATTTTTTTTTTAAAACCGTCGGTGGCGGCGGCCACCAGCCACCAACGGCAACAAAGACAAAGTAGGAAGAGACTTAGACATCCTACTCTGATACCAACTTGAGATTGAAACTGTAAAATAATTCTAGAGGGCTTGATTGATCCCTTTCATAATCTTCTATTTATAAGAATAAATTAATACAAGAGTACATGATAATTACGGTAACCCTAGACACAATATAATCATGATAAATAGGGTAACCCTAGACACAATATAATCATGATAAATAGGATAACCCTTGACACAATATAATGATGATTGATAGGATAAATATCCTAACAAAATTGAATGTTTGAAATCTCTCATGGAGTCTACCAATAAGTCACCTTCTAGTACTTGCTATGACTAGTAAGAACTTCAATACATCTTTTAATGTTTCTAAAACTTTATGTAAGGATTCTTGGGTACTTGACTCTGGTGCCACAAATCATATGACCCCTCATTCATCTCTTTTAACATCATATGTTTCTTTTTTGGGTAACCACAATACGGTTGGCAATGGGACTCTTATCCTAATAATTGGACGTGGTTATGTTTCCCTTTTGTCATCCCTCAACCTTAAAGATGTTCTTTATGTTCCAAACTTTTCCAATAATCTTATATTCATTAAAAATCTTACCCATGACCTAAAGTGTTCTAACCTTCTTTCCTACTATCATACTCCGAGTCGAAAGATTTTTACCTCCATGGATGTCACTTTTAATGAAACTAAATCTTTTTATGAATGTCCTCAGCTTCAGGGGGAGAGTTCTTTTGAATAACCTTTTATCCCTTTCATACAAGAACTATCTTGTACTCCTCTTGGTACTCCTAGCACATCTTGTATGGATATCTCTAAAAGTGCTCCTAACAATGGCAACCTTGTTCCCAATTCAAGGTCAACTCTAAAAAGTAGTCATCCAGAGAATTTCTTCCGTATAAAATATCATAGGAGACAAAAGCAACCTAACCTGTTCTAAGAACAGCATCAATCATCTGACTCGGGGGTAAGTGTTCCATCTTCTAACACTATTGAACCTTTGGAAAATTCCTTGAATTTTAATTGTGAACCTGACCTTGATGACTTGGCCATTGTTTTGAGGAAAGGAACCCGGTCTTGTACCAAGTATCCTATTTCTCAATTTATGACCACTAAAAACCTATCTATGCAGTACCAGAGTTTCCTCTCTGGCATTGATGCAACTAGAGTCTCTACTTCAGCTTAAGAAGCATGGAAGGATGAGAATCGTTCAAGCCATGAATGAAGAGATGAGTACCCCAGAAAAGAACCAAACGTGGGAAATTGTTAACAGGCCACTAAATAAAAAGGTAGTAAGATGCAAATGGATTTATAATGTAAAGTATAAATTTGAGGGCACATTAGAACATTATAAAGCAAGGTTAGTTGTTAGATGATTTACTCATACTTATGGTGTTGATTATGAGGAGACATTTGCTTCAATGGTAAAGATGAATACAATTAGAATCATTCTCTCATTCGCAACTTATTTTGGTTGGAAATTGCAACAATTTGATGTGAAAAATGCTTTCTTGCATGGACAATTAGAGGAAGAAGTCCATATGGAAATTCCCCCAGGTTTTAGGCCTATTGAAGAAGGGAATAAAGCATGTAGGTTGAAGAAAGCTTTTTATGGGTTCAAATAGTCACCTCGTGCTTGGTTTGGTGGACCGAATTAGGTTATGATCTCCATTGGGCATCGACAAAGTCAAGGTGACCATACCCCATTCATCAAGCATTCCCTTAAAGGTAAACTTACACTACTCTTGGTGTATGTTGATGATATAGTTGTTCTAGGAGATGATGAACACGAGAAACAAGTCTTGAAAGAAAAGCTTGCAATCCAATTTGAAATGAAGGATCTAGAAAAATTGAAGTACTTCCTTGGGATAGAAGTAGCTTACTCGAAGAAATGCATCTTTATCTCCTAAGTATGTTATTGATCTTCTCAAAGAAACATGTATGATTGATTGCAAGACCACTGCAATTCCTATAGAAAAAAACCATACAATTGGGAGTGATTAAGGAAATTCTACTATGAATAAAGCCCATTAACAAAGACTTGTTAGGAAGCTCATTTACTTAGCTCACACTAGACCAGACATAGCCTACAATGTGAGTGTCGTTAGTCAGTTCATGCATGATCCAAGGAAGAGACATTTACAAGGTGTAAACAAAATCCTTCAATATTTGAAGACAAGTCCAGGAAGGGGATTATTGTTTAAGAGAGATGAAAAATTAAAAATGAAAGTTTATACTGATGCAGATTATGCAGGTTTTTTCATAGATAGGAAGTCCACCTGAAGAAATTGCATGTTCTTGGGTGGAAATTTGGTTGGAGAAGTAAGAAATAAAATGTTGTTGCAAGGTCTTGTGCAGAGGCTGAATTCCGAGCTATGGCACAAGGGGTGTGTTAATTGTTATGGATGAGAATTATTCTAAATTATCTTAAAGTGGCATGTGAAGAACCAATGATCCTTTGTTGTGATATTAAGTCAGTTATTAGCATTCCTCACAATCCAATTCAACATGATAGGACCAAACACAGAAATAGATCGACACTTTATTAAAGAGAAATTGGATAATGTACTTATCACTACTTACATCCCATCTGGATTTCAGTTAGTAGATCTATTTACAAAAGGTCTTCCCATTGAGCAATTTCATGATCTCACATGCAAGATGGGAATGATAGATATCTATTCAGCAGCTTGAGGGGGAGTGTTATTAGTTGAATATTAAATGCAATACTAAAAGTTGGTGGTGGGATATTAAATGTATTACTAGAAGTTGTCATGAGATGTTAGAAGTTGTTAGAAGGTTCTAGAGATGTCATGTAATTATTACTTTAGGGTTTGAGTTCTCTATATATAGAAGTTGATGTACTAAAAATGTCCCTTCTACCATTAGCACCCTAAGAGTTTCAGTTGATTTGCTACCTGTTGAGTCAACAATTAGTTAGACCCAGTAGCTTTCTGTGAAAGTTTTCTGCACTGTAAATAGCTACATCTTTCTTGTATCATAAAAGCTAAATGTTATTAGTCCTTTATGTTTCGGTGTTGTTGGTACATTTATGTTTTGAAAGTCTCAATACTTTTTGTTTTAAAAGAGTTCATTTTGATCTTTTTCAACCAAAATGTTAAATAGGTTAGCATAGTTGGTTACTTGTCCGTTAACCTATTTAATGTTATACTTAAAAAGAACTAAAATAAACATGTTTAAAAGCATAGAGTATCATATTGAGACTTTTAAGACCCTCTTAATGGACACATCAGCTATTACATATTCAATGTTTTTTATAAAAATAACCAAAATGAACATTTTAAAACCATAAATATTAGATTTAAACTTTCAAAACTTAATATACCTAAATGTAAAACACCAAAACAAAAAGGACTAAGAATTTAGCCCTTAATAAATATAAAACTTCTTCATCCTCTCTCTCTCCCTTCTCTCTATGTAGTGAACTCTATTAAGAAGTTCCAAAACTAATTGCTTTAAGTAAGAACAAGTTATTGCCATTATGTACAGGAAACACTATTAAGCCATAAAAGCATTTATGGTCTGTCTTCCTCTCCTAAGGATAGATCAATGCATGACTCTGAATATCCAATATACCTAAATGTAAAACACCAAAACACAAAGGACTAAGAATTGAGCCCTTAATAAATATAAAACTTCTTCAACCTCTCTCTCTCTCCCTTCTCTCAATGTAGTGAACTCTGTTAAGAAGTTCCAAAACTAATTGCTTTAAGTAAGAACAAGTTATTGTCATTATGTACAGGAGACACTATTAAGCCATAAGCATTTATGGTCTGTCTTCCTTTCCTAAGGTAGATCAATGCTTGACTCTGAATATCCAATATAAGTATCAAGTTTCAAAATTCGTGAAGATATAAAATTTTGTTGAAAGGGTATGAAATATTATGAAAGGTTCACCTTCTTCCGTATATTAGGATCTCGGAAATCCATTAATCTCTCAACCTCTTCGGCAAGATCACGAGCCATTTCGGCTGAACAAATATTTCCTAGAGCACAAAGAGCAAGTCCCACAATATATTGATTTGTGTGATTAAGATCTCTGTGACTTAGCTAAGGGTGCTATATCCCATCATCAATATTGCTAGCTCCCAGCATCTTAGAAAGGAAAGTAAAATTTGAGGAACAAAAAAACAAATGAAATATTAACATGAAATTGGATACTGTTTCAAAGAATTGGTGACCAACATTAGAACTTCTTGTTTTTCATCAAGAAGCAACATAAGACCAAGGTAACCCATTCTCTTCTCCGGAAATCCAGGAGATGCTATCAACTTGAGGCACTCCATTTGACCAAAATAAGTGGGGTAGCCAAGCATGTGGATGAACATTAGCTTGGCCAGATTCCGATGCGTATAGTGTTGCTCATTGCCATTTATAGAAGTACGAATGGCAGCACATTCTTTTCTAACAACAGCACGTTCTTCTGCTGCAGTCTTGCAAGCACGTATGGCCCGAATCATGTCCCTAAATGCAGGGATATGAATTAGATTGTAAATAGATATTGATGATATTTTAATATTTTAAAATATATAATAAACATGTATATCTTTGAAAACGAACTAACTACATGTTAACTGTATTTGATTTACCATATAAAAAACTTTATTCACTTCTAAAAAATTCATTCACGAATACAGAATGACAGAGAAGCACATAATCACAAGGACTTATAGAAAGGGAGTATTTGAGTCGGTGACCACATAGCTGCACTGCAATTCCAACTTTCTTATATAATGTTGTATCGAAACAGCAAAAAGTTATCATAGAAAGGGTGGAGAAGAGAATCTCAATACAAACAAAATAGCAAAAATCAAGAGAGCTGCCCAATCCATCAAGGATAAGCCTTTGAAACAAATTATGAGCAGACAAGGAAATTTAATAGATAAACCTCGTGCAAATAAAAAATTCTTCACAAACATTTGTAGAGGAAAAAAATAAAAATAAAAAGTAAAATGAATTACCGCAAGTTAAAATCAACTCAAGCATTTTAAATTTTACAAAACCTCTATCATCTTACTTCTCCAAAAGAAAGGGTGCATGAACTGATTTTACTCGTGAAAGAAAATTAATTCATTCTATCTTCGTATTTTCTTTTCTCATAAATACTTAGTAATTTATCCAGAGACCTCACATTTTAAACAAAGATAGCATATTGAATGAAGGCCTTCAATTTTTTTGCCAGCCAAAAAACTTAATGGCACATGCACAACAATTATTAAGCAATACCGGCATAGAATCAGGCAAATGGCAATTGGCAATTCCTCAATAGAACTTAATGAAAGGAAGCAAAAGAAGAAATCGAGACACTAAATATGCTAATCAACTTATTCATTTGCTGGTTGCATCAATGCCAAACAATTTCGCAAATTTTGAGGTTCTTCTGAGTGAGCAATGCTTCTTCTTCTTCTTCAAGAAAGAAAAATGAAAGACCTTGATTTGCATTACATACCTCAGACGCGTGGGAGAAGAGAATGCATTCATGATCAGAAGGTCAAGCGGAACCAGTTTAATTGGATTTCGATCTGAGAGTGAAAAAATATTTGGATCTGAGAGTATCGTTTTTGGTGTGAGCCTCTGAATTTTATTTCTCTTTCTTTTTCCTTCTTCCACTCACTCGCAGCGATCGTAATGCAATGCGCTATGCCAACATTGCTGTATATGAATTTTGTGAAAAGGAAACGAAAAAGAAGAAAATAAATGAAGGGGGGACTAGGTTGGTTGAACATTTAGCCTTTAGAAGTCCAACCGTTTTTTTAGAAGGTGCAATATAGCAAATTGGATTTGCATGCTTCTTTGTGAAAACGAATGATTCAATCTAGAAAATATATGATTTCAAATTTTTTAATTTGATCATCCTTTATAAAATAAGTGTTAAATAATGAAAAAGTGTATGTTTTATATGGTGTAGTATAATCGAAAGACGCTTTTGTGAAAAGCTTTTGAGACGGGAACAAATTAATTTATTGTCATAATTAAATTAATAAATTATATTTTCCTTGGCTAAACTAACATTTCTATTCACAAAGTTAGTTATTCACTTTTAATAATCATTTTTTTCAAAAAACAAAATATGAGTAAATGATGTATCATCTAGTAAATTAATGGGTTAAATATGTTTTTAGTCCCTAAACTATTGACCGTTTCTGGTTTTCGTCCCTCTTCCAAAGTAAGGTACAATTTAGTCCTCAATCTTTAAAAAACGTTCGTTTTAGTCGAAAAAACGAACGTTTTGAGGACTAAAACGAGGACTAAAAACAAAATTTTGAGGACTAAAACGAACGTTTTTCTAAAGAATGAGGACCAAATTGTACCTTACTTTCGAAGAGGGACGAAAACCAAAAACGGCCAATAGTTTAGGGACTAAAAACATATTTAACCCTAAATTAATTGATTATATTTAAAAATACAATAATACGTGTACGTGTATAGTATCACTAGTACAATCAAGAGAAACGAAACCGGTCATTTTTGCTTATAGGCACCGGTTTCGCACCCGAGGCATATACAGACGAGGTAAAAAGTCTACCACTTTATGCCTCGGTTCAGAACCGAAGCGTTTGTGGTTGGGTCTTGCTGCTTTCGGACTTTCAAGAATCAGAATAACTGAACAACCATTTTGAGTTTGTTTTGTTTCAATTTAGGCATTACTGGACTCACTTCACATTGCAACAACCAAATAAACAGAAATCATATTTTTAAGTAAATTATAACACTAAAAGCATTACTCAAAGCAGGAGAGGGAGAGGGACGTTCAATTATCTCAAAAGAAGAACTAATGGTTGCAGATTTTGGTGCCAGAATTATAGAGTCTGGTGTCACGAATTTTGGATATAGCTTTCTAACTACTGGAGGTGGGGTTGAAAGGTTCCTAGCAGTAGGATTCTTGAAAGTAGCTGCCAGAGCATTAAAGGCTGGAGACCTGCCCCTTACATGAACACGATAATGGCAGACATGCTGCGGGATGAACGCCTCACCCTCCTCGACCCCTTCTCGAAAGTAGCTTGCTTTCTACCTCCTTCTTGAAATCAACCCACGCCTATGAACGCCTCACCCTCCTCGACCCCAACAACAACAACAAGAGCCCTGCCACTGCCCATAAACCTCCATCCACCGCCACCGCCACCGCCTTTAAAGCCCACCCGCCGTCATCCAGCGCTTCCGGCGGCACACTTACCTCCCTCATCCAGCGCTTCTCCACTTCCCCCTCCGCCATCCACGGCCTCCTCTTCGGCCACGCGCAGATCTGCCCTCTGCCCCTCCATTTGCCCAGATCTGGCCTCCGCCACCTCCCTCCGTCGCCTCCTTCTAGCTTCCCCTCCCTTCGACAACGCACCCTTCTCGCACGCGCACACGCACAAGTACCGCGACCTCCAGCCTCCCCGCACTCGACTACAGGCTTCGTGGGTCGTCGACGGATGAAGTTGGCGACGAGAGGCCCACTCGGATGTTCGGCAGTTGGTTTGAGGGGTTTGAGGTTCGGTAGGTGACCAGAAAGGTGGGATCTGATGTTAGGAGCACCAAGGGTTTGGAGGAGTAGTATAAGAAAATGATGATTAAGATTCAGAATTTTAGTGGCTTTAGTATGCCTCGGTTAGAGGCAAACCGAGTCATAAATGTCTAATGAAATCAGGTGGATAAAGACCGAAGTAATAGGCTTTAGTGGAGAGCGCTTTAATGCTTCGATTTCGAAAATAACGGAGTCAGTAGAGAGGATAGGCTTCGGTTTTTATTGAACCGAGGCCTATAAGTTTCTCTTAATTACAAAAATGCCACCGTATTTTAATATACTTCGGTTCTATGAAAACTGAGGCGTATTAAACGCGTTAAAAGGCTATTTTTTTACTAGTGTATGATATCTAGGTCAAACGGTTAGTATCAAAAACCAATCGGTCTATCTACTGTAGCAGCGCTCGTCAACTTTATTGTAACAACGCTCGTCAACAAACTCGACTAAAATGATGTTGAGCCACAGCGCTCGTCAAACCAGGTCCAACCAGGTTAAAAGCTATTGGACCACAATTGGGCCAGCATTTATATTATTGGATAAAATATCTGATTAAGGATATTCATAAAGTTGTTAATGAGCAACTGACCAGATTTTAAGGTAAGTCTGTTTATATTTTATTAAGCTTGTGTTAATCTATAAATACAGAGCCAAGGTTAAAAGCCAGGGACGCTTGACTATATTTCACTACTCTCAAATACTCAAACAGTGCTAACCATTCACTGAATATTTCATTAAGAGCTAAAGCACTTCAACAGCACCTCTAACTTGAGCGTCGGAGTGCCTTTTGCAGGTACCCTTTCCCTCGGCTCGGACTTTAAGAACTTGGAGCAGGAGATTCAGGGGTCAGAAGAAGGAAGGCAACGACAGAAAGGTGTGTTTCTCGGCCCTGCATAGTTCCTACCAAAACATATTGGCGCCCACCGTGGGGCCGAGAGCAAGCAGACGAAGCCCAGATGGTGACCACAAGGAGCATGGACGAGCAACAGAACACTTGAGATCTGATAGCACAAATGCAAGAACAAATGCAGGCTCAAGCACGAGCCATGCAAGAACAATTGCAAGCTCAAACGCGAGCTCAGCAGGAGATGCAGCGAAAGCATGAAGAAGAGGTCGCAATGCTAAGAACCGAATGGGCTAATCGGGTACAATCTGAGCAGCACTCGGCGTCGTCAGCCCAACAAGCTCATAATGGTGAAAATAACCATGGAACCCGCCATAACCAGGAGTAGTCTCACCACACCGACCCGAACAGTAATACCGGTGGTAATACCAATCTGAACGGTAATCCGAATGGGAATCCGAACGCCGACCAAGGAAGAAGAGAGCCACCACCTCTGCAGACCATAAGACCGATTGGTCTATTGCCCTTCATGACGACAATCATGCAAGCACCCATGCTGGAGAAAGCTCCTCCCATGTTTGACAAATTTGATGGCTCAACCGATCCAGATGATCACATAAGAGCATTCGTCAATGCAATGGCGTTTTACTCCAACAGTGACCCAGTCCTATGCAGGTCCTTTTCATTGTCACTCAAGGGAGAGACATTGTCATGGTACAACACTCTTCCACCGAATATAGTAGATTGATTTGCCACTGTAAAAACCCTCCTTAGGAGGCAGTATGCATCTAGCCGTGTACAAGAGCTGAAAGTAGTAGAGTTGGTGAACACCAGGCAGAACAAGGATGAACCTCTGAAAGCCTTTATGAAACGGTACAATGAAACCGCACGACGAGTCAAAGATGTTAACCATACTTTTATCATCAGCAATTTACCTTCTTGCTTGGAGGTGGGATACTTCTCAAAAAGCTTGTATGCCCGACTGCCCAAAAATATGGACGAACTTCAAGAAAGAGTAACGAAGTTTATTCGTATTGAGGATATAAGGCAATCCAGAAAAAAACAGCAACAGGAAACTTCGGGAGGAAACAAGAAAGATGGAAAACGATCGTTCAACGGTAACGGGGATTCCCCTCAGAAGGATCCTATCTGTCTCCCCAAATTTAATCATTATACCACCCTCAATGCACCGAGGGCTAAGGTTCTTGAGGAAGCTCTCAATGTTGAACTTCTCACACTCCGAAGGAAGGCAACTCCAACGAACACATACGGGAGGAAAAACTGCCATTTCCACCAAAACTGCGGCCATACTACGGAAGAGTGTATAGCACTGAAAGATGAAATAGAAAGGCTGATCCGAGGAGGCCATCTGCAAAAATACGTAGGAGAAAGGACGTCTCCACCGAGAAGTCATGAACGGTCAGGCATAAAAGAGGAACGAAGACATAGGCGAAGTCGTAGCCGCAGTCATAGCCCTTACCGCTCAATTCGGGGTCGTATCGACTAGAAAACATGATAAAAAGTCTTCCATAACATTTGGAATGCGACTCATCTCAAGTTTGCTTTAGTTGAAATTTGATGTCACGTTAAATTCCTTTGATAAGACTTATGTTTACATCGTTAATATGAATAAAACCAGACAGTTTCCGTACGGCCATTCGGCCACACAGGTGCTTGACTGTTCGGTCTCATAACCGTACGACCATTTGGCCTCACAGGTCCTCGGCCATTCGGCCACACATAGGTGCTTGACCATTCGGTCTCACAATCGTACGGCCATTTGGCCTCACAGGTACTCGATCATTCGGCTACACAGGTGCTTGATCGTTTGTACGACCATTTGGCCTCACAGGTACTCGGTCATTCGGCCACACAGGTGCTCGACTGTTTAGTCTCACAACCATACCGTCATTCGGCCTCAATTGCTCGGCCATTTGGCCTCATAGGTACTCGGCCATTCGGCCACGCAGATGCTTGACCGTTCGGTCCCACAACCGCACGACCATTTGGCCTCACAAGTACTCGATCATTCGGTTACACAGGTGCTTGACCGTTCATACGACCATTTGCCATCACAGGTACTCGGCCATTCGGCCACACAGGTGCTCGACCCTTCGGTCTCACAACCATACCGCCATTCGGCCTCACAGGTACTCGGCCACTCGGCCTCACAGGTGTTCAGCCACTTGGCCCTCACAGGTGTTCAGCCACTTGGCCTCAACCGTTCAACCTTCCATGGCCTCAAGAGTTCCAACATTCGACCATTCGACCTCACAGGATTCGTGTACTAGGAAATTCTCCAGGAACTCCTGGGCCACGGACAACCAATTTCGTCTACTAGGAAGTTCTCCAGGAACTCCTGGGCCACGGACGATCATTCACGTCTACTGGGAGGTTCTCTAGGAACTCCTGGGCCACAGGCGGTCATTCACGTCTATTGGGAGGTTCTCTAGGAACTT